AGCCGAACAAAACCAGAAAAACAAGGCGTGACATATATGAGAAATTGAGCACAAAGAGATCTAGAAAAAGAACCAAGCAGAAATCTGAGAGAGAAAAAACTCAGTAATTCAAATAAGAGACACAGCAGAAATTATCAACAGACTAGATCAAGCACAGAAAAACAACACGTTAAGACAGGTTTTCAGGGGGCTGGCACCGTGGCGGAGCAGGCAAAGCTGCCGCCTGCAGTGCTGGCATCCCATGTGGGCGCAAGTTCGAGTCTGGCTGCTCCTCTTCTGATCCAGCTTTCTGCTAATGCATCTGGGAAAGCAGTGGAAGATGGCACATGTCCTCGGACCTCCACACTCATGTGGGAGATCTGGAGGAAGCTCCTGGCTTCTGGCTTTAGCTAGGCCCAGCCCTGGCTGTTGCAGCCATTTGGCAAGAGACTCAGTGGATAGAAGACCTCTCTCTCTGCCTCTCCCTCTCTGTAATCTCTCAAAAAAAGGACAGGTCTTTTGAAATATTCAAGTAAGACAGGCCAAACAAACGAAAAAAACAAAAGAGTATGAAGATAGCTGCTGAAACCTCTGTAAAAACATTAAATGAACAAATATTTGAATTGTGAAGATTCCTGAGGGCAAATAGAGGAACAGAGACAGAAAACTTAAACAGTGGCCAGCACTGGGGTGCAAACACGTTAAGCCACTGACTGTAATGCTGGTATCCCATATGGGTGCCTGTTTGTGTCCTAGCTGCTCCATTTCAAATCCAGCTCCAGGCTAAAGTGCTTGGGAAGCAGCAGAGGATTGCCCAAGTGCTTGGGCCCCTGCCAGCATGTGAGACCCAGATGGAGTGCCAAGCTTCTGGCTTTGCTGTGGGCCAACCCTTGCCATTGCAGCCCATTAAGGAGTAATCCAGTGAATGCAAGAGCTCTCTCTCTCTACTTCTCTATATAACTCTGACTTTCAAGTAAATCGGTAAATCTTTAAAAAGGAATAGAAAAAAAGGAAAACCTATAAAATGACCTACTATCTAAAAACTTTCCCAGTCTGAAGAGAGATATGGATATCCAAATACCAGAGGCACATAGGATCCCAAATAAACATCACCAGAAAAGATAGTCACTGCCAACACATTACAGTCAAACTCTTGGGGGCCAGCACAGTGGCCCAGCTGCAGGTAAAGCCTGCAATGCCAGCATCTCATATGGGCGCTGCTTTGTGTCCCAGCTGCTCCACTTCTGATCCAGCTCCCTCCTAATGGCCTGGGAAAAGCAGTGGAAGATGGCCCAAGTGTCTGGGACCCTGCACCCATGTGGGAGACACAGAAAAGCTCCTGGCTCTTGACTTCAGCCTGACCCAGTGCTGGCTGCTGCAGCCATCTGAGGAGTAAACCAGCGAATGGAAGATGTCTCTCTAATTCTTTCAAAATAAATAAAAAAATCATTTTTTCCCCAAACGCAACACAGAAAATTCTAATTTTGAAAGAAAAAATGTACCAGGTCTCTTTTAAGGGAACCCCCATAGTATTAACAGCAGAGTTTTCCTAAGAAACCTTATGATTCAGGAGGGAATGGAATGATATATTCCAAGTTCTGAAAGAAAGTAACTGCAAACTAAGAATACACTTCTCAGTGAAGTTATCTTTGATAAATGAAGGAGCAATAAAGACCTTCTAAGACATACAAAAGCTAAGAGAATTCGTCACCACCAGACCACTCTGACAAAAGATGCCTAAGGGAGTTCTACATCCAGAAATACAACAAAGGTAATAACCACCATAAAACATGTTAAAGTATAAAACCTACCAGAAACAGAAAAAATATTCAAAATACACAGAAGACATTGTAAAAAAAATGATACAACTAAGTCATTACTTATCATTAATAACTTTGAATGTAAATACACTAAATTCTACAGTAAGATTCCAATTAGCTGAACTGATTAAAAGGCAAGACCCAAAATATGTTGCCTACAAGAAGTGCACTTCATCAGTAAAGACACACACATAATGAAAGTGAAAGGACAGAAAAAAATATTCCAGGTAAATGGAAAACAAAAGCAAGCAGGAATAGCTACATTTTGTCAGACAAAATACTTTAGCACAGAAATTGTAAAAAAAAAATAAGGTGACTATATACTGATCAAAAGATCAATTCAATGTAAAGATATAATTGTAAATGTACATGCACCTAATGCTGCTACACTCAATTTTATAAAACAAACATTATTAGATCTAAAGAGAGAGAGAAAAGCTCCAATACAATAATAGTGGAGGACTTCATTACCCCATTTTCATCAATGGATATATCATCCAGACAAAAAATATTAACTGAGAAACATAATGGTAAAACTACATTATAGACCAAACAAAAGTAAGACATTTACAGAGAATTCCTTCCAACAGCTGTAGAACACAAATTCTTTTCATCAGCAAATGGAACATTCTCTAGGACAGATCACATAATAGGCTATAAAATGTCTTAATAAATTGATAAATAAATATTCAACATAACCTGTAGAAAAGGAATACATTTCTGTATACACATAACTTACTAAAGTTGAAACACGAAGACACAAAAACCTCTACAGACTAGAAACAAGTAATGAGTTTAAATCAGTTATCTAAAGTCTCCCAATAACAAAATAACCCAGGACCTGATGATTTTACTGTTAAATTCTATCAAACTTTTAAGGAGAATTAACATCAACTTTTCTCAAATGATTCCCTTCCTCCTGCCCACCCCCCCAAAAAAAACTGAAAGAGTAAACTTTCCAAATTCATTCTACAAGGCTAGCATCATTTTTACTCCAAAACTAGACAAGATACAACAAAAAAGAAAAGTATATATCAATAACCCTGATAAACATAAATGCAAAAATTCTCAACAAAATACTAGCAAATTGAATCCAGTAACACATAAGAAAGAAAGTTCATTTATCGTGATCAAGTAGGATTTATCCCATGGATTCAGGGAAGGTGCAATCAATAAACAAATCAATAAACATAATAAATCACACCAATAGAATGAAAAATAAAAATCAGATAGTCATCTCAAGAGAGGCATAAAAAGCTTTCAATAAAATTCAATATTTATTTACAATGAAACCTTGAAAAAGTTAGGTATAGAGGAACATAACTGCAATACAAATACTCTATATTACAAACCCACAGCCACCATCACATTGTATGGGGACAACTTGGAAGCATTCCTGATAGATCTGGAACAACACAAGGATGTTTACTGTTAATACGCTTATTCAGGATAGTACTGGAAGTTTCAGCCAAAGCAATGAGGCAAGAGAAATAAATAAAAAGCATACAAATAGAAAAGAAATCAAATTATCCCTGTTTATCAATGATAAGATTCTATACATAGAGAAACCTAAAGACTCTACCAAGAGACTGTAAGAACGGATAAACAAATTCAACAAAGTCACAGGCTACAAAATCAACACACAGAAAACAGTACCATTTTTATACACAAATAACAAACTCACTGAAAAGAAAACTGTAAGACTGATCCCATTCACAATAGCTACCCCCCCCCCAAAAAAAAAAACCACCCACAACACTTTGGAATAAATGTAACCAAGAATGTGAAAGACTTCTGCAATGAAAATTTAAAAACACTGATGAAATACATTGAAACATGAAGAAATGGAAAGATCTGTTACATTCATGGATTTGAAGAATTAGTACTATTGATAAAATGTCCATACTATCCAAAGACCAAAAGCAATTTACAGGTTCAATGCAAACTCCATCAAAATAGCAATGATATTTCTTTACAAAACTAGGAAAAAACAGTCCAAAAATTCATATGGAGCTCAAAAGCCCCTAAATAAGTAAAGTAATCTTGTACAAAAAGAACAAAGCTGGAGATATCACAATACCAGATTTCACAGCTTTCTACAGAGATATTATAACCAAAACAGCATGGTACTGGCATTAAAATGGACATACTGACAATGAAACACAGACCAATGGGAAAGAACAGAGATCCTAGAAATGAATTTATGCAAGTACAGTCAATTCATTCTCAACACAGGCATCAAAAACATGCCGGAGAAGGACAGTCTCTTCAATTAATCTGAATATCCAAATAAATTAAATTAAACTGAATACCCATATACAGAAGATTTAAACTTGACCATTACCTTTTATCCTACACAAAATCTACTCAAAATGGATCAAAGATCTAAATGCAAGACGTGAAACTATGAAACTATTAGGGGAAAACACTTCAATATACTGGCATAAGCAATAAGCTTTTTAGGTGAGACCCCAAAGGCACAAGACAACAAAAGCAAAAATTTAAAAATGGGATTATATCACACTGAATTCCTGCACAGCAAGAAGGAAAGAAGAAAGGAAGGATGGAAGAGGGAGGAAGGAAGGAAGGAAGGAAGGGAGGGAGGGAGGGAGGGAGGGAAGGAGGAAGGAAATCAACGAACTGAACCAACAGAATGGGAGAAAATTCAAATGCTATGTCCCAGAATTAGTGTTTCTAAGCACTATATTATCCTGTCTCTTAACCTCATTTGAAAATACCATGACCTCCAAAGTATAGAGTAGTAACAAAACGCATTTTTTAAAAATATAGGTTGCATCTTATTCTATTCTGCATCAACTGCAAAAAGCTGGTTAAGTCTGCCTACTAGGTGGCTGGGGAAAAGAATTTTCACTCCTTTGTAGCCTTCTGAAATAATAAAAATCATACTTTACAAGTTCATATTTCTAACCCTTCAACCATTTGAAATATTTTCATACACATTAGTATTTTGGATTCCTCAACCACCCTGTGGAGCAAACTGAGTAAATATATCTTTAATGAACATTATCATACCTACCACTGTAAAGATGTGATATACTACTCAAAAAAAAAAAAAAAAAAAAAAGACAAAAACTTGACTTTGGTTCTTAAATGCTATTGAATTGAAAATCTGTCATAAAACAGAAACACTCCAATAAAGTTGTTAAAAAGCAAACAAAAAACCAATCATTATTTTCCTACCAGAATTCATGAGTTTCCAAAGTTGATCCACCAGGGCCTCATTGCATAAGGGAGACTCCATGTTCTTTGTAAATGGAGGGTTCTTAGTCAACATGTTCAGAATTTTGTGCCTGGCATAAATAAAAGCAAAAATTAAATTTCTGAGGACCATTTGTTGATTGATGCTATGAGTAGAAGATATAAAGTATATGGAAATGATCTATAGTTCTTCCTTCCTATTTTATCATTTTCCACTGTAAGGTCTAGCTCTGTATTTAGTTCCATTTCAAAACATACTATGTTAGATCCCAAAACGTCAGAAAAATGTAAAATATCTTAATTTCACATATTTATGGAATACAGTGATAATTCAATACATGTATATAATGTATAATGATCAAACCTGAATAATTAGCATTTCAACCTCCTTAGATATTTAAAATATTTTTTGATTATATACCAATTATGAATATACAGACTAGTGCTAACTAGAGACTGGGAAGGGTGCAGGTAGAGGGAGGTTGGAAAACACGCACCTAAACACAGAAGTAATAAGTTCTAGAGTTCTACAGCACAGTGGAGTAACTATAGTTCACAACAATCTATCAATCTATCATGTATTTTATGAATAACTGGAAAAGAAAAGCTCAAAGGCTCCTAACAAAAATGATAGAGAAGGAAACAGTAATGACTCTGATATGATTAGTGCATACTGTACATACATGTATTTAAAATCTCCTAAATGTTGACTATTGTTTTTTCATTCTAAAATTATGCTTAAGTCTAGCTCTAAAATGTAACAGTAATTACTGGTAGTTAGTTTTCTTTTCTTCTTGACTTTTCCCCGCCAGTATCCTTCAGAGCTTTATCTAACTTTACCAAAACTAGTCATTATAATACATAATAATGGAAGCAGAGTTCAAAATCTATATTTAATTTTTTAAAGGTTATTTTACACTGAGTTTTAAAACAAACCAAGGGCTACAAAAATAAAATGCTTGTGGAAGGATGAGGAAACCTTGATTAACAAGTATAAAGTGGGCAGGAGTAAAAACTTCTAGTGTTCTTTTGCAAGTAGGGTGGTTAGAGAAACTGATAATGTGCTATGCAATTTTTCTTTTAAAAAAAATCAGAAGGGGGACCAGCATTGAGGTTTAGTGCAGCAGTGCCGGCATCCCATAAAGGTGCTGGTTCCAGTCCTCGCTGCTCCACTTTTGATCCAGCTCCCTGCTGATGGCCTGGGAAAAGCAGCGGAGGATGGACAGAGTGTCTGGGCCCCTGTCATGCATGTGGGAGACCTGGAGGAGGCTCCTGGGTCCTGGCTTCAACCCAGTCCAATCTGGGAGTTGCAGCCCTTTGGGGAGTAACCATCAGATGGAAGACTTCTCTCCCTCTCTCTCTGTTAACTCTTTCAAAGAAATAAAATAAATCTCAAAAAAAAAATTAGAAGAATTTTGAATGTTCTCACCATAAAGAAAAGCTATATGCTTAAGGAGAAACATATGTTTACCCTTGACTGCATATTATACTGTGTATTCATGTACAAAACTTCATAGGATATTCCACAAGTATGTATAATTTTCATGTATTGGGTAAAAAATGTAAGAAAAGAAAACACTTGTCTTTGGGACAGGAGAAGGGAAAGGGAGTGATTTTAAGTGAAATACAAACATTTAACCTATCTTTTTAGATTAAAAATTCTACCCAATTAACACAGCTGACTATAGCAATTCTATATCAAGGACACTTATTTTTTTTTAATAAAAGGAACAGTAGGATGAAGAGAAAAGATTCCTTTCCAATGAACAAGAAACAAAGAAAAACTGAAAAACAGACCAGATGTCCCAAGACATCAAAAACCACACATGTAGAACAACTACTGCATAGTAACACGTCTACCCAGTGAACACTCATTGCTATTAAAAATTTTACTTTTCAAATAAAGGATTTACCCTTGATCAAATGTAACAGAATTGTTCTAGGTTAGGTTTCCTAAAATCAAATAAAATAGCTTTAGGGGCAAACACTTAGCCTCATAGTCAAGAAGCCACATTCCGGGGCCAGGGCCAGAGCTCACTTGGTTAATCCTCCGCCTGCGGCACCAGCATCCCATATGGGTGCCGGGTTCTAGTCCCTGTTGCTCCTCTTCCAGTCCAGCTCTCTGCTGTGGCCCAGGAAGGAAGTGGAGGATGGCCCAAGTGTTTGGGCCCTGCACCCACATGGGAGACCAGGAGGAAGCACCTGGCTCCTGGCTTCGGATCTGCACAGTGCAGCGGCCAAGTGGTCATTTGGGGGGTGAACCAATGGAAGGAAGATCTTTCTCTCTGTCTCTCTCTTTCTCTCTAACTCTGCCTGTCAAAAATAAATAAATAAATAAAATCAATTATTCAGATTATAGAGCACAAAACTGACAAAAATTGTAACCAAGTTTGCAAAAATCATGAGAACATACTAAAAACAGTCTTCAATATATACATTTCAAATATATGGTGTTCAAAACAAGATCTCAGAAATATGTATGTTAATGTTAGCTCTGTTATTATAAATCGCCAACAAATGAATATATATATTTACAGTATATATGTACTTTCTTTTTCTATTTGTTATCAGAATCTTACAAATCTTCAAAGCACATGTTTTCTGTGAATTTTTGAAAACATTTTCTATGCATGGATTTTAAACATTTTTTGCACCAAAAGAAACTAATCTGTTAATTCCATTTTCCATGAACTTTTTGAGGTAGTCTCATACTTAAAATTATAGGGAACAGACTTCATTAATAATATTTTGAAAAATATTATTCAAAGGCAAGTCAAATAGAAATAAAATAAATGATTAAAGTATAATATATTCCTCCAATTCTTCTCAAACTATTCAGAACAATCAAAAAAGAAGGAATCCTCAAAAATTCTTTCTATGAAGCAAGCATCACCTTAATTCCTAAGCCAGAAAAAGATGCAGCATTGAAAGAGAATTACACACCAATATCCCTGATGAACATAGATGCAAAAAACCTCAATAAAATTCTGGCCAATAGAATGCAACAACACATCAGAAAGATCAAGACCAAGTGGGATTTATCCCTGGTATGCAGGGATGGTTCAATGTGCGCAAAACAATCAATGTGATACACCACATTAACAGACTGCAGAAGAAAAACCATATGATTATCTCAATAGACGCAGAGAAAGCATTTGATAAAATACAACACCCTTTCATGATGAAAACTCTAAACAAATTGGGTATGGAAGGAATATTCCTCAATACGATCAAAGCAATTTATGAAAAACCCACGGCCAACATCCTATTCAAAGGGGAAAAGTTGGAAGCATTTCCACTGAGATCTGGTACCAGACAGGGATGCCCACTCTCACCACTGCTATTCAATATAGTTCTGGAAGTTTTAGCCAGAGCCATTAGGCAAGAAAAAGAAATTAAAGGGATACAAATTGGGAAGGAAGTCAAACTATCCCTCATTGCAGATGATATGATTCTTTATTTAGGGGATCCAAAGAATTCTACTAAGAGACTCTTGGAACTCATAGAAGAGTTTGGCAAAGTAGCAGGATATAAAATCAATGCACAAAAGTCAACAGCCTTTGTATACACAGATAATACCATGGCTGAGAAAGAACTTCTAAGATCAATCCCATTCACAATAGCTACAAAAACAATCAAATACCTTGGAATAAACTTAACCAAGGATGTTAACGATCTCTACAAGGAGAATTACAAAATCTTAAAGAAAGAAATGGAAGAGGATACCAAAAAATGGAAAAATCTTCCATGCTCATGGATTGGAAGAATCAACATCATCAAAATGTCCATTCTCCCAAAAGCAATTTATAGATTCAATGTGATACCAATCAAAATACCAAAGACATTCTTCTCAGATCTAGAAAAAATGATGCTGAAATTCATATGGAGGCACAGGAGACCTCGAATAGCTAAAACAATCTTGTACAACAAAAACAAAGCCAGAGGCATCACAATACCAGATTTCAGGACATACTACAGGGCAGTTGTTATCAAAACAGCATGGTACTGGTACAGAAACAGATGGATAGACCAATGGAACAGAATTGAAACACCAGAAATCAACCCAAACATCTACAGCCAACTTATATTTGATCAAGGATCCCAAACCAATCCCTGGAGTAAGGACAGTCTCTTCAACAAATGGTGCTGGGAAAATCGGACTTCCACATGCAGAAGCATCAAGCAAGACCCCTACCTATCACCTTACACAAAAATCCACTCAACATGGATTTAAGACTTAAATCTACGACCTGACACCATCAAATTAGTAGAGAACATTGGAGAAACCCTGCAAGATATAGGTACCGGCAAAGACTTCTTGGAAAAGACCCCAGAAGCACAGGCAGTCAAAGCCAAAATTAACATTTGAGATTGCATCAAATTGAGAAGTTTCTGTACTGCAAAGGAAACAGTCAGGAGAGTGAAGAGGCAACCGACAGAATGGGAAAAAATATTTTTGGCCAGCGCCGTGGCTCAATAGGCTACTCCTCTGCCTTGCGGCACTGGCTCACCAGGTTCTAGTCCAGGTCGGGGCGCCGGATTCTGTCTTGGTTGCCCCTCTTCCAGGCCAGCTCTCTGCTATGGCCTGGGAATGCAGTGGAGGATGGCCCAAGTCCTTGGGCCCTGCACCCCATGGGAGACCAGGAGAAGCACCTGGCTCCTGGCTTCAGATTAGCGCGATGCGCCGGCCACAGCGTGCCAGCCGCGGCGGCCATTGGAGGGTGAACCAACGGCAAAAGGAAGACCTTTCTCTCTGTCTCTCTCTCACTGTCCACTCTGCCTGTCAAAAAAAAAAAAAAAAAATGCAAACTATGCAACAGATAAAGGGCTGATAACCAGAATCTACAAAGAAATCAAGAAACTCCAAAACATCAAAACAAACAACCCACTGAAGAGATGGGCCAAGGACCTCAATAGACATTTTTCAAAAGAGGAAATCCAAATGGCCAACAGGCACATGAAAAAATGTTCAAGGTCACTAGCAATCAGGGAAATGCAAATCAAAACCACAATGAGGTTTCATCTCACCCCGGTTAGAATGGCTCACATTCAGAAATCTACCAACTATAGATGCTGGAGAGGATGTGGGGAA